TGTTGAGATTCTACATCAGCTGGAATACAGAGTTCTAAACAATGAAGACCAAAGACTGTCCAGAAACTAGAACCCAGGCCAGGAGACAGAATATAAAAGAGAAAAGGCAGAGAAGAAGACCACCCCTGGGTTCAGGGAGAAAACAGGAAAAGTGAGAGGGGTGAAAATCATGCACAGATCAGAGAAGAAAACCTGTCTCCCATTCCAAAGGCCACTGAGCCCAGTGAGGCAGACGCCACTCAGAGCCCCACCCCCGGGCCCGGGGAGAAGGCAGGAAAGGGAGACTCCAGGGAGAAAGACAGGCCACTGAGAAAGAGGCCACTGCGTGACAGAAGGGCCGCAGGACCCACCTGGGGAGAGGGAGGGGGCCAGGCACTCACACACACTCAGACTTCCACACCCCCAGAAGTGGCACAGATGCGCTCCAGCAAAGCAAGGTGGGAAACCAAGAGACAAGCAGCTGTGGGGTCCCAAGGACACAGACCCAATCCAGCAGATGCAGCTCCAGGAGCTGGGCAGGGGCAGGTCACAGGCAGGCAGGAGGTGGCCACCTGGGGTGGGGCTCCGCCCAGCTGGGGAAGTGAGGAAGCCCATTCAAAGCAAAGAAGCGCATTCGATGTAACAAAAGGACACCACCCAAGACAGCCAGCTTCCAGCAAAAGCTGACCCAGGCGGTGGGGCCCTGGCCTGCTGAGTAGCTGCACCCTGCCTGGCACCAGGGACCTGCAGCCAGGGTGGCACTGGCCACACAGCAGAGAAGCCAGGTCCCCACAGTCCTGCCTCTCAACACCCTGGCTTGAGCTGGTGACAGGTGGGGAAGGCAACTGGCAGGCCAAGATGGGGGATGTCTGATCTGCTCTATCGCACCCCTGGGCACCACCCACCTCCAGCTGAGGACAGGCCAGAGGTGGCTCAAGAGGAAGGGGGCCTGCAGGTGCAGTCACCATTCCTACCCCTAGAGCTTCGCAGCCCAGGTGAGACCTGGAGAGCAGGGTGCCCTTCCAGAGGCCTACGGACGAGTCCTGGCCACACCCTAGCAGGCTGTGTGCAGGCTGGGTAGAGCTGTCCCAGGCAGGAACAGACCCTGAGTGAGGGCAGACAGTGTGGGAGAGGGGGTGTGTCTGTGAGGGTGAGTGTGCACCTGTGCCAATGTGCACCTGTGGGTGCAGGAGTGGGGGCCATGTGGTGAAGGGGCGAGGGCTAGGCAGGAGGCTGGGGCAGTCCTGAGATCTGGTGGGTGGACCACATAGTAGGAACCTCCTGGGCCCTGCAAAGCCTGCCTGGACTTCAGGGTCCGGATTAGGAGATTAAACCCAGGGTCAGAAAGCTTTGGAGAGGGGCAACCCCTCCCACTCAGACTCTGCAGTCAGGTAGGAACTTCCGGATCATTCTCCGGGCAGAGAGCTAGGACCTCAGGAGCTCACGGCCAGTGGAGGAGCCCAAGGGGTCTGGGTCTTAGCTTCAACTGGGGACTTTGTGCCCTCCTCCCCTCCCCTGCAGTGTCCTGATCTGCAATACCACCCAGGCACTGAGGGACAAGGCGCTGAGGATCCAGGGTTCCATCTGACCTTGGGCTACGATCCTGACTGGGCTCAAGTTAAACAGCAAGCTGGTTACACTGGGGGGGACTGGGGAGCCCCTGCCCCTGCTCCAGGCAGATGCCAAGGAACCCAGATGCAGGGCCCTGGGATCCCAGGACAGACCAGTAACAGAAGCCATCAACAGAGGCAGAACTGGAAAAGGGTGCAGGCCAGCCCTCCTGGCCCTGGGCACCTGGACCACCTATGGACAGGCTGGGGGCAGGGTGTGGTCCACCCCCATCAGAGTTCTCAGAGATGCCCCTGGGCAGGGATGGAGTGGTGGACTGTGGGAGGTGACATTGTGCTCCCTCTGGCTATCAGCAGGGAGGTGGTGAGAGCCCTGTCCTCTGAGCCCAGGAACACTCAACAAGCAGTGTTCAGGGAACTCTGCCCACGTGCTGGGCCTGCCAGGTTCTGGAGCCGGTGGCCCAGGCCCCTCCAGTCTCAGGCCTGAGAGCCGGGCTGGCCTGAGCTCAGTCAATCCTAAAAGCAGCGTTTTCAGTGCCGACAGCTCTTCACAGGCCCCAATCTGGGGATGCCAGGCTCTGTGAAGATGCCCCAGCCTGCCACCCACACCCAGCACAGTGGCCACAGCTGTCTGGGGGAGCTGAGGGGCCTAGAGGACCCCACCCTCCAGTCCCCAACTCCTGCACCCACTTCTGTCCCTTTTCTCCCCTGGATTTCCACACAAACCACAGGAAGACTGCTCTGCTCCATTCTGAGAACAGGGTCAGCACTGGTCAGCAGATGTGATGGAGGAGAGGACACAAGGGGCACAAACTGGGCATGAGGCCCCCCTGCCCAGTGACCAGGATTTGATTCCAGTTCAGCCATCTTCAAGCTTTGGCCTGGGCAGAGCTCCACTCTTCCGGGGGCTGTTTGAGGGGCATCCCCATGGTGGGGGACATCACAGGGGTACTCACTGCAGCCTCTTACAGGCCCTCAGACAGGGCTTTGTGATTAGCAGCCCCTCGGTGCTGTTGCCCTACCTCAGGAAGGCAGCCTGCCCTTCAAATTCACCCACAGTCCCAGAAGGAGGCCCTCGTGGTCCCTGCCTCGGGCCAGTGTCCTGCCTGGACTTCGCACCCTGCAGAAGGATGGTTTTCTTACAAGCCTGGGTCCAGGAGGGCACTGGCTCTTGACCCCAACAACCTTAACCAAGGAACCCCTAAAGGTGGTGATTAACCAAAGCAAACGCAGATGAGTGACTTTCCCTGACCATTCTGCACCCCACTGCTGGCTCCAGCCCTGCTCACCCCACCCCACTGCCCCATAAGGCGGGCGTCCAACCACACCTGCAAAATGGCCGCCGCAGGTATGGCTCCAACCCTGGACCCCAGAGCTTCCTGTCAAACCCGCGGCTGCCTTCTCAGAACAAGGGGACTGCGCATATCGCCCGGGCAGACGCCCTAGCCATCCTCCTGAGTGACCATGTCCCCTGCAGGAACCTGCGCTGAGTGCTGTGTGTCCCAGGAGTTAGGGACCAACCTAGCGCTGCAGGGGCCCCTCCGCACCTCCTCCTCTCTGCAGTCGCAGGATCCAATCCGCTTGCCCTAGCAGGCCCTTAATCCCAGCAATGCAGGCGCCCCTTGAAAAGGGTGGCCGCAGGGGAGGGGTCCTCTGGCCTCTGGAGGAAAAGTCCTATTCCTGGGGACGTGGGCGC